CTCCCTCCCTCACCGATACTGTATGTTTTATGGATGGGTCATAAATATCTTGGAAGCTGGCTGAGGTCAAAAAGCAGGAAGAAGAGGGCTGAAACAAGTCAGGCGCTCGCTCTTGCATAGCCCTTCGATGTGTTTGTGAAGCAAATTTGAATTACAGCGGAGGAAAAGATAATGTTTTTCGGATCCGAATTATTTCTTAAAAAGCAATGTTATTTGTTTGCAATTTGGTTTCCAGCAGGCCCGGTATTTTTCTGGTTGTTTTTTCGAGAGGTGGGGGGCAAAGGCTCCTGTTACAGTAAAAGGTAAGGCAAGGGAGGGTTGAGAAAAGCGCGTTTTTATTGGATTATTCAATCTGATCAACCTAGCAATCCATTCTCGGAGAAGCCTTGTTTACTCGGGAGTAAGTCCTGCTGGCGTCCACACCAATGGGGCCTAGCAGCGTTTTCTTAGGCCCTGCAGCCAGGATCAAGGTCCCTGTGCCTGCTTTCGCTAACGCCGATTAACACAACGAGGGACCCCCCTCCGCCTAAACTAGATGGCGGGGCTGGGTCCCACCAGGTGCTCCTGCAAGTGCGGGAGCCTCACAGCACCCTGAGTCCACAAACGGCGCCACCCCCGCTTCGGCCCGGCCGAGCCTGTTCTCACGGCCCACCTGCGACCTAAGCCAACTGTCCTGGTTATAAAGCAGAGACGCCGCTTTGACCGGTTGGGGAGGGAAGTGGGGTGGCTCGTCCTCCCTCCCTCCAGCTCTAGGGACGGGCCAGCGCTGCCCAGACACTCACCCGCGCCCGGGGAGAAACTCCCCGGACCTACCGACGGAGCTCCCCATTTTAAGAATCTTTTGCCTCATCTTTAAAAGGACGGCGGGGTTAATTTGAGGCGGGGGAGTTCAAGGAGAATAGATCAAGCGGGCCTTCGGTCGGACGCTGCTTGGCGAAGGAACCGCGGCCTTCTCTCAAGGTTTACTCGGAAGCAAAGCCAAGGGGGTGGGAGATTTCTCTGCGCGAGTTTGAGATTTCAACCAGAGAAGTGCGAAATCCATTTTGGGGGGAATTTATAGGTCACATCCTGCCGCCTTCCCTAATTCCGAAGTGCTTTGGCGGAGCTCGCCAGCTTTTAATTCAATACACAGTTACCTAGAAATAAGTTTCGTTGTTCACTAGAGTTTAGGTATAGGATTAAGCAGATTTTACATATACAAGCGCGCATACATGCGCGCACACACATAGATATAACTTTATATATTGTATCTCCTAAAGGAATATAATTGAAAACAAGTAGGAAGGAAGGAAGGAAGGAAGGAAGGAAGGAAGGAAGGAAGGAAGGAAGGAAGGAAGGAAGGAAGGAAGGAAGGAAGGAAGGAAGGAAGGAAGGAAGGAAGGAAGGAAGGAAGGAAGGAAGGAAGGAAGGAAGGAAGGAAGGAAGGAAGGAAGGAAGGAAGGAAGGAAGGAAGGAAGGAAGGAAGGAAGGAAGAGCAACTTTCTAAAAGAATAAATCGGAAAAGATAACAAAAACTAAAAGAAAGGAGAACCGTCCCGAATTGCCTTGTTTCCCCCCAACCCCCCAAGAGCACATAAACAAATATTTGTTAACCGAAACTTGTTATCGATAAGATTCTTCCTCTTCCCGTCGCCCTGTCTGGAACTACGAGATTGCGGCCCCTGAGTGAGAAAGAAATGATCTTTTTTTCTCTCTCGTTTCCGAAAAGCGTCACCTCCGAGTCAAAATATAAAGGCAAAGAAAAGGAGAAGAGGGACGAAGGAGTGTGCTGTGCACGAGAGGTGACCTGTCCCTTTGTTGCAAAAAGATTCTAATGGAGAATTTCGGCTGCCCCACTTCTGCGTTGCCCCCAAAGGGAGGCTGTGGAGAGCCGAAGGCCGCGCACACAATTCGGAGAGGAGAGAAGGAAGTTACGTGGGGAGGCGGCGGCGGCGGATGGAACCGGCGGGGGGGGGGGGGGGAACCTGGAAGACTTTTTGTGATATTTACAGCCGACGCACCAGCGTCGAAGAAAGAGTCTTCAAAATGCCAATTTTTCAAGGCGCGATTTGCCAGAACCTGGCGCTAATCCAGAGTCTGGGGTTGGAGGTTGTGTGAAAGGTCTGTTCCGTCCGGAGATGACCTTCAAGAGCTTTGCGGAAAGTGGTTGAAACGCAGCTCTTGACTCCCCCAAGATTTACAACCCCCCTTCCTCCGCTCCTCATTGGTGGAGGCTTGTGAACTGTATAAATATTTTTCCTTAATCATAAATACAGATGAAGAGAAGTGGGGGGACCGGATAGAAGTTGGAAGTTATGTTGATTTCTATTCCCCGGTAGAATTATTTAAAGGGGGGAAAAAAGCAAAGCTGCTGGTAAATTAACTGTTTAACTGCCCCGATTAACTTTTTAACTCTAGCCCTTCCCAGATCCCCTTAGGCTTTATCGATTGTAGAAGCCTTTTACGCTGCAGACAAAACAGCGAAGACCAAACGCTTTGACTAGACATTCAAATATGTGCTGTATATCTTTGTTTTGCAGGGCTAAATCCCTCCGTGGAATTTTTGGGTTTGGGGGAGGGCAGGGGGAAATCAGTAAGCGAGGGAGACCATCTTTTCCTGTGTAACCCCATTGAAGTCTATGGGCCTAACATTCTCCCCCCCCCCCCCCCC